ACATATCTAACATCTAAATTTCAATTTTTACATACTTACCGCCTTATATATTGCATGGAATATCACATTTTAAAAATTAAAAGAGTGATATTTTTCATGTGATATGAAAGATTTTACTGGTATAAATGTGTTAGACATGTAAATACATAAAAATTAGGTGATATGATAAGGATTATCATTTGATAGCCACAATGAATCATATGAATCAATTAATAAAGGAAAGTTTTTTTTAAAACTGTTTCATTTCATTACGAATCATAATCAAAAATGTTTGGCCACACTAATTACAATACACTCAACAACTCCAACTAAACATTATGGATATTAGTATCTGTTGCAATGTAACATATGGTATCATAGCAACTCAAACAAACCCAAAACAGCTATTTTCACAAATAAAATGATAATGGAAATACCAGAACAAGTTTTACAATTCATACTGTGCCGTTGATTTTAGTACCATTCTTCCGCTTCATATTTGAAAAAGTTCATTCAACTCCCACTGATTCAGCTGCAGTGATCAAATTGCCAAACAACAGCCGCAGTCTCCATCAACAAAATTACATGCATTCCAGTAAGATTATTTCTTCATCTTTACATAAAATCATTATCCAGATGCTGCTCCGGTTTGTTTGTTCTTTAAAAATGAGAGCTTATAATCTGGCCTGTCAAACATGAGAGCTGCAACGGCTCTGTCTATCTTATTGGTCATTGGTTCAAGGTTTTCTGATAGTTCCTGCCTGCAACCAATCAAATATTGCAAAATTTACAAATTACTTAATAGACCTCAATAGAGATATTTCGGTAAGACAGAGTGTTTTTTGTAATTGAATCCGCAGGATATGTCGGAGGAATGTGTTCATATAAACAATTGGAAAGCAAAATTTAAATAGGAAAGGAGATTTACATACACACCACATAATTCTTATACATTTATATATCTAACCATCTGGAAAAAAAAATGTAAACTTTAAAATTTACTTTTGTAATATTTTGACGTTAGCTTATGAACCAAAAGGTCTATTTCACATTTTAAAAATTAGTAACAGGAATGTTTTTGATGTAATACTAAAGATTTGAGTGTTAATGCATTTAAATATAAAAAGTTTAAATGATAGATATGTAAATACATAATAATTGTGTGCTATCATGTAAATACTCCTTTTAGAACTAGCGCTGGCCTGAATTGCTGTTTTCTTCAGTAAATTTCAGCTGTTGTGATACCAAATTTTGAATCTTATACAGAGAAATTTGGATTTATTTGTTCATCTAGTAGTTGCCAGACACATGCATAATAAGCAAAACATTTAAAAAAGAGGAGGTGCAGAAATGGAAAGAAAAAAATTATAAAAGTTTAGAAGTGTTTATATACTAATGATGCATTTTTAGCTCACCATATTATGGATGTTTTTCAAAAATGCAGGCAGTGAGTTGCTGGAGTTCCCAATAAAAAAGTAGAAAGAAATATTTGCATTCATACCTTGAACTTCCACAAGAAAATTCTGAACAAGAGGGCAGGTCTTTGAAGCTTCCAGTTTGACACAGATTCGTATTATGCTGTTCTTTTGCTCTGTTGGCAAGACGATACAACGCATCTCGAATACAGAGTCTTGTTTTAATGTCGAGCTTTACATGGTAAAATATGAAGTCAATTCAATATCTGACATAAACGAAAGTAAAGAGTTAAATTTCTCAAGTTGAGTGAAGGTTTACCTGCAGAATCACATTTTCAAGTTCCTGTAACACTGTTGCTGCAATGCACATTTGTTCTCCCACTACACTTGTTATGAAATTCTCAGAGATTGGACTTGGATCAATAGAGTAGGGGGCCTTGACATTAGGATCCTGAAAGTGAAATTGCATTATTTACAGATTATGTAAGGAAGTATGATATTTTGATACTTTATGATAAATGAAATTTATTCAATGATAAAAATAGTCTCAAGATTAAAAGCATATTGCTAATAAGCCAAGAAGAGTATAATTTTCCCTCATCTTCCAACCAAAAAGTGAAAATTTGAATCCCCTTGAAGAGCACATTTCTGCCAAGGGATGATTTATAAGTTAAAAATAAAAAAAACAGTAAAAATCAGCTAGTTCATATCATTTAGTTGGATATCTATACATTTTAGCATGGGATTAGAAAAAAGTCAAAATAATTCCGGACTGCTTATATGGGATCAATTTAGTTTCACCTATCTAATGTGTTAAATTAGTCAATTAATTCATCAAATATTATACAAAATGATCTCTCTGTTCAATTATATTTGATTAAATTTGAAGAGTTAATGGACTATTTTGGATCAGATTTAGGAATCAAGGGACCGAATTGAATGCGGTAAGTAATCATGGACTATAAGGGCCCCCCTCAAATGATTTAGAGATCATTTTGACCATTTTCTCTAATGATATTTAAACTCCAAAAGCCCCTTTTACATGAATGGTTCCTTTGGCTTCTTTGGGGTAGATGGTGATGACATTGTATATTTCTTAATTTGGTTGTATATAATTGGAAAACAACATGATATTTAGGGGGTTGTTTGGTTGAAAGGATTTGTGCTGCACTGTAATTCATTTACAGGGATTTGAGGAAATTATGTGTTTCGTATGATAAAGTACAAATACAATGTGAAGTTTTAATGAATTTAAAGTTCACTCCTTAGTTCATTTTGGCTGAATTTAGAATTCAACCGATTTGACTAAATTTGAATTATACTGTAAAATACTATTGGTAAACAATCGCTCGTCGCTGTTCGCTGGCCGTCGGTTGCCCACAGCCTGTCGTCGGTCGACTACCGCTTGCCGCCCAAAAAAATTATTAAATTATTTTCAATCTAATTCAAATCAAACAAAAATATATATAATGTTCTGCGTTTATTTTACAGTTAACCAAACAATCATAAAGTATTTCAAATACATTGTTATAATAATACTTTGCAAATGTTTTACGTTGTACTTCATTTTTAGCAAACCAAACAACCCCTCAAACTCTATAAATATCTCAAATGTAAAGGCATCAACTTCACATATAAATGATTGCAAACAAAATCAACACTTTCCAAAACATGTTTACTACGTAAAATCAACCAGATAGTTTCATAACACTTTTGTATTCAGACAATGTGCAGAACAAAATCTTATCCATAAGCAACTAAATCGTAAACTCAAGCAAGTTCAATTAACAGTAAAAGATAACCTATGTCATGAGCAAACAAACTTAATTTCTCCAAAAAAAAAAAAAAAAA